CCTGTAGACCTGAGTCCTTCACCAGAGACCATGTCCAGCCTCTACACTTAGGTCTACCTGTTAGAGTCCTGTAGACCTGAGTCCTTCACCAGAGACCATGTCCAGCCTCTACACATAGGTCTACCTGTTAGAGTCCTGTAGACCTGAGTCCTTCACCAGAGACCATGTCCACGATCAACACGTAGGTCTACACTGTTAGAGTCCTGTAGACCTGAGTCCTTCACCAGAGACCATGTCCAGCCTCTACATGCCCCCCCCCCCTGTATAATACTGACACACTTTGACTTCAGTCCGGTTTTGAAGCAGAACTCTTACTTGTAGTTGAGTATTGTCTCCGTGTGGTTTTAGTACACATACTACAGTAAAGTACTCCTGTACTTCTACCTCCTCTGGTTGAATTATTTTTGTTTTTTTCTTACTTCACTGAAACTCTCTCCTCGTAGGAACCTTTGTTTCTAGCTTGTGTGTTCCTATCCGGACCCGGTTTACAGACACACCGTTGCTAGGATGCAGTGCAGCAGCTTCAGCTGTGCTATGGCGGCGGCATGCTAACGATGCTAACATCAACGAAAACCGTTAGAGAAAATACATCAAACGTAGCACTTTATATTCTGACGTGTTTACCCGCTGGTGCAATGACGTCATTAAGTCCGTAAACGTCAGCTAATGTGTTTACCTCGGGAGCTAACAGAAGCTAACTGAGCAGCTAGGATTAGCTGTTAGCATTTGAAAGCTGTCTGAGCAGCTAGTTAGCTGACAGGCGGCTAACATCCGTTAGCTTCTCTAGCTTCGCTTAACGGAAGAATGTACGGGAGCCGGAAGGGACAAGAGGACACGAGGAGGTCCGACTGATGGACTGTGAGTCTGTCCGTCTTTGAATTTATATTAAACTATATGTATATATACATATAGTTTAATATAAATACTGTGTATATATAAATATTTATATATATACAGTATATCATGTCCTCAGGTCTCTGTCCTCATGTCCTGTCTTCATGTCCTGTCTTCATGTCAGGTCCTCAGGTCTCTGTCCTCAAGTCTCTGTCCTCAGGTCCTGTCCTCATGTCCTGTCTTCATGTCATGTCCTCAGGTCCTGTCCTCAGGATCTCAGGTCTGTCCTCAGGTCCTGTCTTCATGTCCTGTCTTCATGTCCTGTCTTCATGTCATGTCCTCAGGTCCTGTCCTCATGTCCTGTCTTCATGTCCTGTCCTCAGGTCCTGTCTTCAGGTCCTGTCTTCAGGTCCTGTCCTCAGGTCCTCAATCCAGTTTAAACTCTCAGATCTGGTTTTCTTCTTTCAGGTTCTGCTGAAGGATCAGACGATCAGGTGGACTCTTCATACTGAGATGGACCTGGACTTGATCCGGGCCGGTCTTCTTCTCACCATGCAGGTTTCAACATGTCGGACTGCGACCCAGCTGCTGTAGAGGAACCTCCTGGTCCTGGTCGCCCCCACCTGGTGGAGAAGGCCCTGTCGGAGGCCTTTGCCAGGCTGAGGTACCGGGACACGTCCCTGCTGGTCTGGCAGCAGCAGCAGCAGGACCTGCAGGCTGCCCCCCCCTCCACCTACCTGAGCCGCAGTCAGTCGGCCTGGTACAGCAGCTTCGGGAACCAGGCCGTGCTGGTCCGGGACAAGACGGGTCTGGAGGACGCAGAGGGGCGGTCCAGGATCTGCAGCATCATGTAGACCGGAACCAGGACCCTGAGCAGAGTGGTTTCATTCCAGTCCTGGTGGGATGTATCAGTGAAGTTCAGGGTTTGGCGGTTCTGGTCTCGGAGGGACGTCGGTCCTCTAATCCACCAGAGAAGAAGAGACACAGAGAGCCGCTGGGTATTGTGGGAAATGTGTTCCAGTTTGACTCCAGGACCTGAACTACAAAGAGTCCAATAAACCAGTTCATGTCCTGGTTATCTGGTTTAACTAAACCTTCACATAAAGGGGCGGGGTTTACAGCTTCTGGCCAATCAGAGACAAGGACCAGTCTGACGTCAGCAGAGCGTTTTATGAAAAAAGAGAACTAGAAAATCAGAAGTTAAAGTCAGAATTCAGAAATGAAAACATTAATAAAATCACTGTTATTACATGTTTATTATATTAAATTAATATGCTAATATGAAGCAGTGATTTTATTAATATATTACTTTAAACATGTTTATCAACAGCTGTTCTGTTTAAACTGTTTCTTTCAGTCTGAATTATGACTTTGGTCATAATTACTCTGGTTGGTCAGGAGGCGGAGCTTAAATACCTCCATCACCTGCCTGACACCAGGAAGTGTTTGTTACGCAGCGGTAGTTTTACAGTCATGTGACCGGAGCCTGGTCACATGACCATGAAGACTCCTGTTCACATTTAAAACTAATAAACTAAACGACTGTCTGTAAATAAGTACCTGTAGATAACGACTCGGTACCTGTAGATAACGAGTCTGCACCTTTAAATAAGGACTGTGTGTGAGAATAAGAGTCGAGTCAGCGAGTCAGTTTATGTGTTTATTTATGAAAACAAAGGAACTCAGAAAATAAGGATCCCATATCAGTAATTACATCAAATCATTGACTTGTTGTGGTCGGTTCGTCCCGTCTGTCTCCCTCTAACCCACAGACAGCTACCTTACAGCTACTATACAGTGCTCAAACATACGGATGAAAGGACGTACGGCCGGAGTGCATGCAAATACATAAAATCACTTTTTTCCTTTTTCTTATTAAAATACAAAAATTAACTATTAGCATCAAAGCTCGACCATCAACTAAAAACAAACGGGAGGTTACTGTGGCAACGAGCTGTCTGTGAATGTGTTTATTGATTAGTCTGTAACGACATCTCGTCTCTACCTTCTTCAGTCCGACAAGAGCACAGACGACATCCCATAATTGAAACAACTAAACCGTCTCCATGACAACTTACTCTGGTATCTCCTCAACCCCCCCCGATGTAGACCATGATATTTTGGTTGAAAGTTTACCCAAAAACAAGACTTTTGTCCAACAAAAAGATTCAGTTTGATGGGATGACAAAGAGGAAATCAATAATCAGAGGCTTTCAGTTCAGAGGGTTCGACCAATCAGAGTCGTCGGTATGGAGGAGCAGGAGTCACATGATTTATTCTGGTTGGTTCGACCTGATTGATCAGAAGTGAAACAATATAAACATGTTTTTATTTGTCTTTTTTTTTTTCCAGGCAATTTGTGTTTTGAAGTTTGAAAATCAGCTAAAATAATAAACCTTTAAATGAACGGAGACCTAAAACTGAGTCTTCCTTACATCTGGTTCAGTCCGGTGGGGGGGGGGAGCGGGGGGGGGGGGCGCGGGGCAAAGACATCTTTATATAGAGAACCTTTATAAGACAAACAAGCTCAGCACACAACCTGAAAATCAAAAGACATAAAAATCAAAGAACATGTAGTGTTAAAATAAAAAAAGTTTGTCTTTGCTGACGGGGGGGGGGGGGTCTGGTCTCAGAAGGACTTTACTTGTTTGGAACCTTTTCTAGTTTTTAGAAATCGTCCATCGGACTTTTACTTTGAAAATATTTGAAGATTTTCATATTAATAAAAAAATAGAAAATAAACTCCTGCAGAAACTTGATGCAGAGAAAAAAATAAACACCTTTTATTGTCACACCTGGATCTGCAGTTGAGACCACTAAAGACCAGTTGAGACCACTAAAGACCTGGATCTGCAGTTGACACCACTAAAGACCTGGATCTGCAGTTGAGACCACTAAAGACCAGTTGAGACCACTAAAGACCTGGATCTGCAGTTGAGACCACTAAAGACCAGTTGAGACCACTAAAGACCTGGATCTGCAGTTGAGACCACTAAAGACCTGGATCTGCAGTTGAGACCACTAAAGACCTGGATCCGGTCCTAAGGAGACACTGAATTCCCTTCAGACGTCCATCACCTTCTCCAGATGTCTTTATAGCCGTTAAAGGAACGTGTCCATGAGACCAGACCACTAGAGTTTGTGGTCTTAAGGGACAGAACTTGGTCCTCGTCCTCTGTTGGTCTTTTATTGATCTTCTCTTTAATATAATTTAACTAAATGACACAAAGAAAGAATTTGAAGAAAACTCAACGTCTCTTTCCAGGAATCAAGAACTGGTTCCTGAACGCTGAGGATCCTCTTGATTCTTCTCTCTGCAGCAAGTTTCCATAAAAGTTGATTGGTGGAGTTTATCTAAAACCCACTGACACCTCCTCTTCCTCTCCCATGATGCTCTATAGATGCTTCTGGAATGTTTTCAGAGGTTAAAGGTTACAGCCGGCCGTCCAAGAAGAAGAAAGCTGTTCAGAGAAGATCAGTATGACAGACAGACGGGCAGACAGACAGGCTGCCCGTCTGTCCACCACATGTCTCCCGATCTCCTCTTGCTGGGAAAGGGTTATTTTCTTCTTCTGCTCTTTCATCTGTCGCCAGTCCTCCATGAAGAACAGAAAGAAAAAAAAAAAAAAAAAAAAACGACACTAGGAGCTAAAAAACCAGCCTATTTACATACAGTCTCCAAGTCTGGGCATGTGTGTGTGCGTGTGTGTGTGTGTGTGTGTGTGTAAAATACATATATTTATGTATGTGTGTGTAAAAAGTTCAGAGTGTGTATCTCTGTCTTTTGTTTGTGTTTTTTCAGGATGGAAGTTTACATGGATGTGTGTGTTAGTGTGTATCTGCATGTGTAAACTGGATAGAGTTGTGTGTGTGTGTGTGTGTGTGTGTGTGTGTGTAGAGTGGATAAACCTCTGTGTGTGTGATCAGTGTGTGTGTGTTCAGTAAAATGTGTGTGAGTTTGTGTATCCGTGTATGTTCAGTCTGTGTCGGAGGAAGAGGAGGTTCCTGTTGAGGAGCTGTCATCAGAGGAGGAAGAGGAGCTGCCACTCAAGCGACTAGCCCCGCCTCCCGACGCCCCTCCTCCGGCTGCCTTCTCTGTAGAGCGAGAGCGAGAGAGAGAGATGCAGGAGTTAATAAACAGATGTATGAGTCAGTGATATTCAACAACAGAGATCATGCTCAAATTGACCTGCTACCTGAGTCCTGTGGCAAAAAAGTGTATCCCTGTAGTACCGAGGATGTACCCGAGTAAGGTCGGGAGGTACCCGAGTAATGGTAATATATTTGGATATTAGCAGTATCTTAGTACTTACGCAGTAGCTTCCTCTGCTTCTTCTGAAGGCAGGATTTGACGTAGCGCTCCAGCTCTCGAAGTGTGGAGGGTTTGAGGGTTTCGAAGTCGATCTCGATCTCGTCTGGGTTCGAGTCCCTCAGCGACGGCTCTCTGGACTGGATGATGTGGACGACGCGTCCAAGCTTCTCCCCCGGCAGCCGGTTTATATCCAGACTCAGCTGGCGCTTCTCATCATACGACATCGGTAGAGATGACTCCTCGCCGTCGTCCCCGTTAGCCGAGCCACCGCCCGACGCCTTACTGCCTTTCTTAGGTTGCCTGGAAACCGACAGAGTCACTCCGATTGGTCAAACTCCGAATTAAAATGAGCTCCCAACAGAGAATAATGAAACCTTAGTTTTCACAGGTTAATTCTTTAAATTCATTTGATTCCAGAAATACTTGATTGAATGGTACCTCGTGGCGGTCACCGTGCTGTTGGCTTTCCTGGCTGGTGCCTTCTTCTGATTGGCTGTTTTTGGCTGCTGAGCGGCAGCTTTAGGCTTCTTCTCTTCTTCCAGCTTGCCCTTGTTCCCTTTGTCTTTCTCCTTATCTTTCTTCTTCTCCTTGTCTTTTTTCTCTTTCTTCTTCTTTGGCTTGCTGACCGGAGCCTGGGACAGGACGGCTAGCTGCTCGTGCACCGCCTTCAACTGATGGAATATACTAACTATCAATACCTTTCACTTCTACTCAATATCTAGAAACGCCTTCAGCTGGTACATTATTATAGAAATAGATCTAAAATCACATATTAATATGTAAGATCAGTATTCTTATCAAACATTCATATCTCAAAAATTAATAATTTAACAGAAAATTAAATCAACAGAATTTCATACATTTAATTCAATCTACAATGATATTAAAAAAGAAGAAAACCAGGATGTCCTTGACCTGTGATTGGTCGGCAGCACCAACCTGCTCCTGTAGCTCAGCCAATCGCGTGGCTCGCTCCTCCTCTGAGTCGGACGATTCGTCGGAGGAGGAGTTGTTGCTGCTGTCAGAGGAGGCGGTGCTTTTACTGACCAATGGTGTTGTAGACGGGACCGATGCTTCCAGGCCCTCATCTGGGATCTTAGCGAAACGCATCTCAAACACGTCCTGACGAGAAAGAGATTCAAATGAACAAACTACAAGGTAAAGGTTCTGAAACGACTGAAAGGTAAAGGTTCTGAAACGACTGAAAGGTAAAGGTTCTGAAACGACTACAAGGTAAAGGTTCTGAAACGACTGAAAGGTAAAGGTTCTGAAACGACTGAAAGGTAAAGGTACTGAAACGACTACAAGGTAAAGGTACTGAAACGACTACAAGGTAAAGGTTCTGAAACGACTACAAGGTAAAGGTTCTGAAACGACTACAAGGTAAAGGTTCTGAAACGACTGAAAGGTAAAGGTACTGAAAGGACTACAAGGTAAAGGTTCTGAAACGACTACAAGGTAAAGGTTCTGAAAGGTTCTGAACCGACTACAAGGTAAAGGTTCTGAACCGACTACAAGGTAAAGGTTCTGAACCGACTACAAGGTAAAGGTTCTGAACCGACTACAAGGTAAAGGTTCTGAAAGCTTCTGAAACGACTACAAGGTAAAGGTTCTGAAAGCTTCTGAAACGACTACAAGGTAAAGGTTCTGAAACAACTACAAGGTAAAGGTTCTGAACCGACTACAAGGTAAAGGTTCTTAAAGCTTCTGAAACGACTGCAAGGTAAAGGTTCTGAAACGACTACAAGGTAAAGGTTCTTAAAGCTTCTGAAACGACTGCAAGGTAAAGGTTCTTAAAGCTTCTGAACCGACTACAAGGTAAAGGTTCTTAAACGGCTACAAGGTAAAGGTTCTGAAACGACTACAAGGTAAAGGTTCTTAAAGCTTCTGAACCGACTCCAAGGTAAAGGTTCTGAACCGACTACAAGGTAAAGCTTCTGAAACGACTACAAGGTAAAGGTTCTTAAAGCTTCTGAACCGACTACAAGGTAAAGGTTCTTAAAGCTTCTGAACCGACTACAAGGTAAAGGTTCTGAAACGACTACAAGGTAAAGGTTCTTAAAGCTTCTGAAACGACTGCAAGGTAAAGGTTCTTAAAGCTTCTGAACCGACTACAAGGTAAAGGTTCTGAAACGGCTACAAGGTAAAGGTTCTGAAAGCTTCTGAACCGACTACAAGGTAAAGGTTCTGAAAGCTTCTGAACTGACTATAGCAACCACCAAGGTAAAGGTTGTGGAGGGTTGTACATACCTGCAGCTTGCGGGCCATGGCCACCACCTCGTGGTCTGGAGGGTTGTACTTGTAACAGTTGGAGAACATTAACCTGACGTCAGTCGCAAAACTTTGAGGATCACTGTATTCTCCTTTATCCATCTTTTTCTGTTCAGGGGGAAGAAAACAGGTTAATTACAGTATTTTTGCATAAATAAATAGGTGAATACTTTGTTTACATTTTAATAGAATTTTCCATTTAAGGTAAGAAAGAAACATGTTTTAGTTCTTAAAAAGAAAGAAAATCTGAATCGACAGGACGTAAATCAGAAAATTGCAATCAACGACATGAAGTGTGTTCTGTGATGATGTCGTGCGAGCGTTACCCGGGCGGTGCTGAGGTCCATGGGATGTTTGATGATGTCATGGTAGTCGTGCAGCTCCAGGGCCTCGGCGTCCACCGGCTTGTAGAAGGGCCAGGCGTAGGCGGCGTGTTTCTTAGAGAGCATCTCCTTCAGGATGGCGTCGCAGTGCTTCATCTGCTCGCCCAGCTTACCGCCCTTACTCCTCCCGGCTCCTCCTCCTCCTCCGCCTCCTCCCACCTCGCCCACCGCCACCTCCTCCACCGTCTCCCGGCGGGTCTTGGCCGGTCGGGCGGCGGCCTCACGGCGGGACAAGCCCAGTTTGGGGGGTTTGGCGTCTTGAGCGGACGGAGAGTCGGCACGACCGGCTGAGATGGCTGATGTGGTGGGAGTGGTGGTGTCGGCTTTCCTCTTCACACCTTTCTTCTGTTTAGAGACACAGACGGGTATGACGACAGACAGGTAGACAGTCAGACAGACAAGCAGACAGGCAGACAAGCAGACAGGCAGACAGACAGACAGACAGACAGACAGACAGGCAGACAGACAGACAGACAGACAGACAGGCAGGCAGACAGACAGGCAGGAAGGCAGACAGACAGGCAGGAAGGCAGACAGACAGGCAGACAGGCAGACAGGCAGGAAGGCAGACAGACAGGCAGACAGACAGGCAGACAGGCAGACAGGCAGGCAGTCAGACAAGCAGACAGGCAGGCAGGCAGACAGACAGGCAGACAGGCAGGCAGACAGACAGGCAGACAGGCAGGCAGACAGACAGGCAGACAGACAGAAAACTCAGTGATGCTGTCTCACACCACACAACTGTTACCTTAACGACGGGCTGTGCAGACGGCATCATGGTTGCCGGGGGTGGTGGGGCAGAGACAGGGGGCGTGGTCTGGATAGGTGTGGGCGTGGCCGAGATGACAGGTGTCTGAGAGGGGGAGGGAGAGGGGTAGGAGGGGGGGGGGGAGGCTGAAGACTCCGCCTGCTGACTCACTGAGAGAAAGACAAGCAGTATTAGTACTGCAGTATACACACACACACACACACACACCGGTATTAGTACTGCAGTATACACACACACCGGTATTAGTACTGCAGTATACACACCAGTAGCAGCAGTATTAGTACTGCAGTACACACACCAGTAGCAGCAGTATTAGTACTGCAGTATACACTAGTATTAGTACTGCAGTATACACACCAGTATTAGTACTGCAGTATACACACCAGTATTAGTACTGCAGTATACACACCAGTATTAGTACTGCAGTATACACACCAGTATTAGTACTGCAGTATACACACCAGTATTAGAACTGCAGTATACACACCAGTATTAGAACTGCAGTATACACACCAGTAGCAGCAGTATTAGTACTGCAGTATACACTAGTATTAGTACTGCAGTACACACCAGGAGCAGCAGTATTAGTAGTGCAGTATACACCAGTAGCAGCAGTATTAGTACTGCAGTACACACCAGTAGCAGCAGTATTAGTACTGCAGTATACACACCAGTATTAGTACTGCAGCACACACCAGTAGCAGCAGTATTAGTACTGCAGCACACACCAGTAGCAGCAGTATTAGTACTGCAGCACACACCAGTAGCAGCAGTATTAGTACTGCAGTATACACCAGTATTAGTACTGCAGCACACACCAGTAGCAGCAGTACTAGTACTGCAGTACTAACCTGTGGTAGCAGCACCGGGCTGTTTGCTCTTGCTCTTGCCTTTGGGAGCTGGAGGCAGCAGAGCGACTTCTTCTTGAGGCATCTGAGAAACCTTCTGCAGGAAGATCTTCTCTAAAGCCTGAGCCATGAGGACGATGTCATCGGTGGGCTGAAACACACAGACACACAACTGTGATGTCCACTCCTGAAGCTGCAGGTATAAAGTATAAAAGTACACACAGTGTAGTAACGTGTGTGTGTACCTTGTTGTAGATGTAACAGTTGGTGAACATGGTGTTGAAGTCCTGCATGGCCTCACTGGCGCTCCAGTAATAATTGTTCTCCAGACGTTTCTTGATGGTTCCCATGTCCATCGGGTTCTTGATCACCTTGTGGTAGTCCTGGAAACATGGTTAGCTTATCTTAGCAAGGTACTGCCAGGGTTCTCCAGGTTAAATTGAAGACCTTTTTCATGGTGTTAATGTTGAAGCTGGAATAGATAGGGCTTATTAAATCTATGTTTGTTTGTTATTT